GGTGTGGGAGTGCCGGGCCATGGAAATAGGGTTACTAAAGGCCGTGGCACTCTGGTTAACCCCAGAGGACACGTGACCGGTTAAGTCTACACAGGGGCCTCAAGTGGGGGCTAGGGGTGGTCACGTGTCAGAGTGTCAGAGTCGAGATCCTGCTTGAGGATTCTCGAAGGTGGTCGTGGCCAAGGGCGGGGCCAGCCACGCCATAGAGGATATAAGCCGGGTTCCCCAGAGGGACCGGTTGCTGTTGTTCATCCTGAAGAATCCTTCATCTACGTTCTACGTTCTACAGAGTCTCCAACATGTGGACCTGGACCCAAGCTGTGGTCCGGTCCGTTGTAGCTAGTTACAGTGTAATTAGTGTTATTAGCCTGGTGGTCCATCACCATAGGTTGTTATTCTAAGGGGCAGTTCCCCCATGTGTTGGTGTTAATAAATGTGTTGCCTCCAAATAGCACATCTGCGACTCAGTAAGCTAGCCGTCTTAGGTTATATATTCTTGGTTCTTTCGGTAAAGTCCACGTACCAGGATGTCGGACGATGAGGATGAAGACCTAATCCCTCATACTCGTTGGTTCTTTCGGTAAAGTCACGTAGGTAGAAAAATAATAAATCATGACATTTAGATCGCAACACAAGCAATCAACAGGTGGGACAACCACAGCAAGAAAAAACTGCTGATGTAGGCGAGAGATCTGCCGTGGCACGAGGTTATATCGGCCGCGGTAGTAGGGGGGGGAGAAAGGAGGTGGGGGGAGAGAGGGAGCGGGGCAGAAAGTGCACCCCGCGGCAGCACTCGGGTCACTGGAGTAAAGTGGACCACCGCGGCAGCACTCGAGAGATCGGCTGCAAGGGGGCGAGAGAATGGCGGGGGGGAGGGGATGGCAACCCCGGAGAAGGGAAGTAAGGGGCCGGTCGGCAGAGCAGCGCTTCGACCGTCCATGTGACAGCTCACTGCCGTCGGGGAGGGAGCGCCGTACAGCACACTCCCGCCTCGCTGAACTCCTCCAAGCCGCGGCGTCCATCGTCGCGGAGCTCCATCGTGCGGAGCCAGCGGGGGAAGAGAGAGCAACGGAGCCGTGTGGGATGGAACATCCCGCCGCCATTTCCCGCCAACAGGGAACCTCCGTTGCGCAGCCCGCGTATGCGACCGCCATTTTGATGGAGGAGCGGAGCGAGGTGCCCGCCAAATCTGAAGTGCACCTGTGGACATCCCATCTCTCTGGCGACGACTGCCCTTCGCTAAAGTATTCATAGCCGCCGGAGGCAACTGGGTGGCCTTCAAGCGGCGGTTCTGAACAACCAGCGACTTGGCAGGGTGGACGGAGGCGAAGGCGCTGAGAACGCTGCCCGCCGCACTGGACGACGACGCATTGGCAGTGTTTCTCACCATCCCGCCGTTGGAGAGGGCCACGCTAAATCAAGCCTTTGACCAAATGGCCGCGATCTATGATCCGCCGTCAAATGTGTGCCATAAGTTCGCTGCGCGGAGGATGGGAGAGGCCAAGACACCCCTCGCCTTCCGTAGCGCACTTATGGCACTAGCTAAGGCTGCCTTTCCAAGAATGGACCACAACAGAGTGGACTCGATGGTCCTCAAAAGACTGCTGGCTTTGGCGAAAGACCTCAATGTCATTCTGCCAGCTGTCGACAACGACGATCTATCCTCCATTAAGGTTGCAAGATGCATCCAGGCGCACCTGCTCTTGCAACGGCACAAGGGGTTGGCGGCGTGTACCGCGCCTTGTGAGGCACGTGATACACCCAAAGACGTGGAGCCCGTCCAAGCCTGCGCATCGACCCAAGGCGGAGGCCGGCACGGGGATTGCATCGGGCGACAGGATGAATGATATATTCTTGGTTCTTTCGAAAGAACCAAGAATATGAATCTCTGCAGTCACAAAAGCTTTAAATCAAGGATGAATGACGGCGGAAGACATCTCCTCGTCCAGAGAGTGGCCTCATGTGCTACAACTGCGGCCTAAAGGGACACGTCTCATCGGGCTGCCGCGTACAACGCCGCCTCCCTGGAACACCGCCGTCTGACGCCCAACCGTTCTCCACTCCACTACACACTCGGCCCCTGAATCCACCTCACCCATCTCGTTCGGTCGGTTTTCGTTCCCGTCGTGCGTCGGTGCGGGAGGGTTCGGACTTTGATCGGGCCGATGGGCCGCTCTGACCAGGTCAGTGGTCGGAGTTGGCCCATAGAGTGGTTCCTGCGACCGCAGGTTCATCCGCTGAATTGCACTCTCATGCTCACATGTCCTTGGGATTGCACTCTCATGCTCACATGTCCTTTGGATTGCACTCTCATGCTCACATGCCCTTTGGTTTGCACTCTCATGCCCTTTGGATTGCACTCTCATGCTCACATGTCCTTTGGTTTGCACTCTCATGGTGCTAATCTCTCATTAACATTGCTGCTGTGCGCATATGCGGGGATGATACTCTTACGCCGCGACAGAAGCTCATTCATGCTAATCTCCCTCCCTAATCCCTCTCTCCCTAATCTCCCCCATTATCACAACTGATGTGCTTGCTCCCGTGGATGGAATTCCTTTCCAGCTCAGACCCCGCTTGCTTGGCCATCACCACGTATATAGCCTTGCTGTAACTGCCCTCTCGCTGGTTCAGCAGTTCCACTGCTGGATTCTATTTTTTCCGCCTGAGGACGACCGCTTGTGCTGCGATCGAAACGTCGTGATTTATTTCATTTTATACCTACGTGACTTTTAGTTTATTATGTTTTACTTTTCGTAACAGCTATTTTCATTACAGTATGACAGGTGAGGCTGTGCTTCCCCTGCCTCCCCTGAGCGGCTATCACATCTGCCTCACTGAGGGGGATGTGTCTAACACACCCCCTCAGTGTGTGAATCTGGCTCTGACACTAGCCAGTGCCTCCCCAGCCATTGACCTCACCGCACGTCACTGCTGTGATGCAGACAATTGCGATGATATCATGTCGGGCAGTCTGCACACAGACGCCACCCTCCCTGAACAGTTCGCTTGGGGTCTTATCTCTGCCCCCGGCGCTTTTCCTGGTCTCAGACTTTGTATCGCTCCTTGTACTTCCTCAACAGATTGGCACATCAGTCAGCCACATACAGTCAACACGAGGGCTGAGCGTCAGATGGCCACACTCGGCCACATACAGACGTACAATAAAAAGGTAAAAGATCCCCCATATAACCTGTAACGGAACTGTTAGGGCAAGTGCTGTTAACGAGCATCTATGAAGACCGGCACGGCACACGAGGGGGTGGGTGGCCAGCACCATGCCCGGCTGCCTTTGTCTCCCCCATTGGCGATGTTTACACACCGCACCAGGTACTCATTTGAGGCTGAGTCGACCTAGAGGAAGCCCAGGACCAGTTCAGATAATCGTCACTGTTGTTGGCCCTGTGTGGGAATCAAACTCGGGTAGCTGGGTTCGTAGCGCAGAGCGCTAACCTCTACACTACCGCTACCCATGCACACACATACAAGTCACATTCATACACACGCATACAAAGATGTAGGGCTAAAGATGGGCACATTTACAATCTTTAACAGTACATTTTAATATTCAGGGGGTTAACGGTAGCATTAATTACAGGATACTACACAACCATAAAATATTCCTTAAAGTATGAAATCCAGTGTATATGTATAATCCTGAAATGTAAGCGACATGGCAGGTCTTTCTTTTTATAATTTTGAGAAAATATGCAAGTTAGAACCGGTTCAAACCGGTTTCCACAACGGTTGTCCACATCCGAACCTTTAAAACTCATTTCGAGTCGTTTAAACTGGTGAATGGTTAAAATTTTATTTCGGTGTACCCGAACCGCAGCCGAAAACCCATCGGATCAACGCGCCGGTTATCAAAAAATACCTCCAAATACTGGCGCTGCCTGGAACTCCTTCCCGTTAGTTCGTCGATGTAAAACGTCGGCGTGGCGATGAGGTTTTAAAAATCTTATATTAATTTGAATTCGCTAATTTTGCCACGGGGCGTTCGCCCCCTTGTTCCGACGGTGAGCGACTCGAAGAGGCGCGGAGAGGAACCGCGGACGAGCAGGGAGGGAGAGATCACGTGGTGTGCCGGTGCCAACAATTTGCCCAAGCCGTGTGGTCCTCTACATGTTAAGGTGTTCATCGGCCAATTAACCCTTTCCCCTTCTGATACGTCTGCAAGTTGCAGGGTGTGTTGGGGGGGGGGCCGTCCCAGTTTGCCACCGATTCTCGGAACGTGCGAGAGGCTCAGCGTTTGGAGAAGCGTAGAAGCGAAGCGCCATTGTTTTTAAAAGCAGCAACTAAAACTAAACATTTTTGTTTATTTTACCAGGTAAGGTTCACCGAGCAATATAGCTCTATTTTCAGACGCGACTTGGCCACAAATTATAGTTCAATAAAGTGGCCTATCATGTGGAAATTTACAGCAGCTAAATACTCTAAACGCATGTTGATCCTAAATGTGGAGGAAAAAACCTGGGAGAACATGCAAACTCCATATATCACAGCAGGCGTCAGGGTCGGGATCGAGCCCACAATCTCCTGTATACCAGGCGAGGTGGTTAACATCTCACCACCATGGAATCCAATGTACTCACCGCAGAGAACCGTAGTGACATGACCACCGCACTACGATAGTTGGCACCAGACCGGTGCCACACGCCATCCCGCTTGGCCTTTCTTCAGTGTTAGTTTTTACGACGTACTCGTATGTCATCGGAACAGGAAGGGGTTAACGAGTTCTTGGGTGTGGGAGGAGATCGGAGCACTCGGAGAACACTCACGCGTGCGAAGGGGAAAAATCTCTCTTCCTCATACAGACGTAAGAGGCAGGGTCCACACACGTTATGCTGTACCACCTTCTCGCGAGCCAGGGTCCTCTGGTTTTCCCCTCCACATTTATAAACATGCCTTGAGATTATTTAGATGATTTTGATTGTATAAATGTCCAAATACAGGGCCACTGTATTTGGACATTTGTGGCCAGTCGCTTCTGAAAAATAAGTTAATACCTCAGTACTAGGATGGGGATGGTTTAGTTTTATTTGTATGTCTTTGGGTGATTTGTTTATCTTTATTGTACCCCTATCATGTTTTTGTACTGTTTGTTGTTGTAACGTTCTTACTCCGTGCCCCTACTGAGCATCTGTGAACTAGAGTTTTATAGCTCATCGGATTCCTCCAGAATAAATATTCTGATTCTGTATGGATCCTACTCAATGTGCACAGGGGGGAGTTTCACAGCATTTGGGAGATTCACCAACCCTCGCCTCCACAGTGCTGAATTACAAGCGTACATGCCACCACGTTGATGTTTATCACGATGTAGCAGTGAGGCTTTCCCGACCAATATTATTCATATTAAAGGTTGTTTTTGTTTGGATTAGACTACGTAATTCTATTCTGGAAAATCGCCTGACGAGGCTGGTTTTTTGAAACCTCACGGTACTCGAATTGTAAATGTTGTGGGTTTACTCTCCAACACACAACCGGTTAGTGCTGAAGCAGTAACGAATTGGCAAGTTTTGTTTACGCAACAAACCTCACTGATTGGCTGTGGTCGGGTGGTGGCGGGTTTAACAACATTTCTATTTACGCTATCCTTTCGTGAACTTTATTCAACCACAATCAACGTTAACTTGTTCGATAAAAAAACTAAAATGCTAAATTCCATGATGAACAAACAACGGAAAGGGGGGGGGGGGGACAGAAAACTGCCGACAATAAAACTGATTTGAAAATCGATAAAAAAAACACCCCTCTCTCTTTGCACGTTCACCTTCGCCGCTGCGTTCCACCCCAAAAAAAAACGCAAACTACGTGGGCGTCGAGGGCTTTCCTCACTCGCCGATATGCGTGCTAAAGAAATGCTTCTTCAGAGCATCGATCTGCAAAAACCCCTTGCCGCAATCCTGGCACATGTACTGCTCCTCGCCGGCGTGCACCTTGGAGTGCTTCTTCAAGTGGGAGGGGATTGAGAAGGCCCTGCCGCAATCTTTGCACACGTGCGGCTTCTCGCCGGTGTGCGTCAGCGCGTGCTTCTTCAAGTTGCAGGGCAGCGAGAATCCCCGCCCGCACTCGTCGCACACGTGCGGCTTCTCGCCCGTGTGCGTTATCGAGTGCTTCTTGAGATCGGAGCGCTGCGAAAAGCCGCTGCCGCACTCCTTGCACACGTGCGGCTTCTCGCCCGTGTGCGTCAACGAGTGCATCTTCAGGTGCGAGCTCTGCGAGAAGCCCTTGCCGCAGTCCCGGCACGCGTACGGCCTCTCGCCGGTGTGCGTCCGCGAGTGCGTCTCCAGGTGGAAGCGGTGCGAGAAGCGCTTGCCGCACTGCGGGCACTCGTGCGGCCTCTCTCCCGTGTGCGTCCTGGCGTGCGTCTCCAGGTGGAAGCGGTGCGAGAAGCGCTTGCCGCACTGCGGGCACTCGTGCGGCCTCTCGCCGGTGTGCGTCCGCGAGTGCGCATCCAGATTGGAACGCCGCGAGAACCCCTTGCCGCACTCCCGGCACACGTGCGGCGCCTCGCCCGTGTGCATTATCGAGTGCTTCTTCAGGTCGGAGGGCTCCGCGAACCCCTTCCCGCACTCGGCGCAGGTGTGCGGCTTCTCGCCCGTGTGCGTCCTGAGGTGCCGGTTTAACCCGTACTGATGCGAGAAGCCCTTGCCGCACTCCAGGCACGCGTGCTTCCTCTCGTCGTTGGCGCCCGTCGCGTCGCGACCTCCCGACAACTTGTCGTCCGGTTTGGGCGCCTTCCTGGGGGGCGTCGCTTGCAGGCATCTCTCCTCTCCGGCGCTTGTCGCCGTCCTGCTCCTCCTCCTACGCAGAATATTGACGCACCACGTGGCGCTGTCGAGCGTCTTGCCGCACTTGGCGCAGGCTCGCTGGGTCCGGCAGGAGGCGCGATCCACCTCGCCCACGCTCGTCTGTAGGCACGCGCCAAAGTCCTTCGCGCACTCCTTGCACAGGAGTTCCACTTCCTCGTCTTCGTCTGCGGGAAACGTTTTCGAAAGAAGAAAAACAAACGAACGCGGATGCATTGGTTGGGAGGCAAAGAATTCAATAAAACAGCGAGGACCTCAGCGGCACGACTCCCCACGCGTTTCAAAACGCCCCCGCCGTGATGCCACTGGCGGAGTGCAATTGCAGTGCTTATGAAGATTACTTGCAAGTGTTTTATGTCATTAATAAATGCTGGCTCAACCAAAAAATTCAAATAAATATATTTTTTTCCCCAGGTAAGGCCCCACTGAGCTACGTAGCTCTTTTTCAGAAGCAACCTGGCTATCACATTATGATAACCCAACGAAGTGGCTTGTCACGTGGAAATGTATAGCAGCCAAATGCTCTGAATGCGTGATGTTGATTCTAAATGTGGAGGGAAAAACTGGAGGACCCGGAGAAAAATCCACACGACCACGGGGAGAACATGTGATTTCAAAATATATAGCAGGCGTCAAGGTCGGGATTGAACCCAAAAACCTCCTGTATACCAGGCGAGGGAGTTAACATCTCGCCACTGGTAGTCAGGTAAACAGCCTAGCTCCATGTCTAGAATACATTAGCTATTTAGTTTGGTTATACTTAGATGGGATAGAAGCATTACTACCTTAAAGTGTCTTAATCTAATCGCCCCTCCACGGCTCAACACAACCTCCTAGACTCTTTCGCTTTGACTGGGATATGACTCGTGGTAGAACAAACAATAAATTATTTTATCGTCTCTGGAATGCTCTCAGAGGGACTCACCTTGACCAATGTTCTCCTCGAGCAACTCCACCTCGATGAACTGTTTCACATCTTCTGCCCACATCTCCACCTTGATCAGCTTTTGCTCCGGAGTGGATACACATCCACGGGAATCCCCCAGCCCCTGCGGTCTCTCGTTAACTTCTTCAGCTTTAACAACATTGAAAAAGAAATCACCTCCGATTAGCGCGGTTGGCTATGTACAGTGCGAAATAATTTCAACATAAAAACATTTACAGAGACCCATAGACTCACACAGAGACCTGTACACTCACAGACTCATAGACTCACACAGAGACCCATAGTTTGTTGTCCTTCCCCCCGCAACTCCAATTAGCATGGTTAGCTACGTGTGGTGCGAAAGAAGTTCAACATATCTTCAGTCTGTTCTCCTATAATGCAGTACAGTAGTCCCTCGGTTAACGTTTTTAATCCGTTCCACGAAAACTACTGTTAACCGAAATAACTGTTTATCGAATTCACTTATTAGTTGAAAATTAAGTAAAAAGTCTGCAAGAGAGCTGTTTCCACTGCCAAAACAAAAAAAAATTCAAACAAAGCCAGTCGAGGTCTAAATGCTCATAAACGGGCATCGCTGATTGGCCGAGGGCGTGGCTCAGCCCCACTTAACGAGCGCTCGGATAGGCCGAAATTGGCGCCCGCGTGGCTATAACCCATCTACGTCACTTTACCAAAAGATCCAAGAATATAAACACGGTACCATTAGTAAACATTTTTACGTTAGTCAAAACCATGGGGGCCTTTGGGAGGCGAAACGTTAACCAAAAAAACGTAAACCGATTACGTCACTGTTAACCGAGGGACTACTGTAGATACGTTCCTGAAGAACACCGCGTTATGGAAAAATGACATTATAATAATTATTATAGGGGGTAAAGCAGCAGTCCGCGATAACACGTGAGATGCGTAACGCAGGCTGAACAAAGACTGAGGCGCCATGGGTAGCGTCTAGAAGTATCCAGCAGCATCCCAATGCCTTATGTGACAATGATGCTACGCCGAGGCAGCTGTACAACCTCTTATTCCTACTCGCGCGAGGTAGTTCCATTCACTCGATCGCGTTGCATATCCAATTCGCATCTGCGTTATAAAAAAATGTGTTCCCGAATACATTAATCGCATAATAGGGTTTTTCCCCTTTTTTCTGGCAACAAAACTGAAACCTTTTCACAAGGAATCATGTGTGCATTTACCACAATACTTGTGGTCCAAATGCAAACAAAAAACACACTCTGATAATATATGCATTGTCCTTGCAACTGATTGGTCTCAATTGGTGCTAGACCAGAGGACGCCAAAAGCCGTACAGCTCAAAGACAATGCACTATCAAAGTAATGCATGTACATTAGCATAATTTATCAGTGTGTTTTTTGTTTGCATTTTGACCACAAGCATTGTGGTTAATGCACACATGATTCCTTGTAAAAAGGTTTCAGTTTTGTTGCCAGAAAAATGGGGGAAAACCCTATTATTATATTTTGGTACTGGCAAAGGAGGTCTAATGATACATTAATCGCGTTATACCCAATTCGCGTTGCCAAAACAACACGCGGCGTTACAGGAGAACGGAATGTACATGCACAATTTATAAAACGCACCGTGGTCTTTGATAGATGGGAGATCTATCGCATTACACAACAAGGCAATCACACATGCCAGACAGGCATGTTTTGCCCACAAATATTAGAATTCTCATTGTGTTGCCAAAGTTGGATCGCTCATTCTTGTGCTGTAAAATCCAACTGAAGCAGCGGCAGATATTCATTTGAAAGAGTGGGTGTGAAAGGCGCTCGATAAAGATAATTATTGTATAATCTCATGTGCCGGCTTGGATAGATCTTGTTTTGTAACCACAGTAGACTCTCGATTATCCGCGTTAATGATGGGTAGGATGGCCACAGATAATAAAAAGTAACGGATAATCCAAAAATATAAATTTTCCACGGATCACTATGCAAAAAAACACTAATATCGGAATAAATTATGTTTAAGTTAAGAAATTTGAGTTTGTCATTGCATAGTTTCGTTAATTAAAACTCACAAAATATATGATCGGATAAATCACTCAAAATGAAGCACAACTGATGATTTCGATTTGTTACTCTTTCGATTTAGAACGAACGCTCACGATCAACCGAACGATGATGCATGTGCTCAGCGATAGTAACACTTTCCTGGTCCTGCCCAGCAGAAGATTCCGGTCCACTAAGTTGATAGCAGAGCCACGCCAATCAAAATCAAACTTGGCCCACTGTTGTAAAGATATGGTAAATCCTGCACTGTAGGGGAGATCACGTCTATTTGGAATTCACCGGAGCACATATTTGTTTGGTTTAGGCACGTAACTTATAATAAACATTTCCAAAAAGAATATGTATAACCGTTTTATTAGATTACAGATGAAATGAGAGAGTGCCATCTAGTGGGCGACAAGGGGTAACTGCACGGCCACTATCGGGTAACCGGTATCCAATCCTAAGCGGAGATACATCTGGGCCAAAGGTAACGGGCGGAGTCAGCGAGAACGTTCGGGAACCATCGAGAAGGTTCCACGAGGGGGCGTGGCTAGAGGCAGAGCTTAGCTCCGCGGAGAGGACTATAAGCGGAGGCAGGGGAGGACTCGTGGTCGGTGTGGGAAGCCTCGGTCCGGACCGCGTTGCTGCTCAACCTCTTCTAGCAGTTAGAAAAATGGGAAATACTCGGAGAGAGAAGGAGCGGAGCTGTGCAGAAATTCGGTTAAGAAAAAGACAACAGTCAAAAGCTGTCGTGGAAGTCGTTTATTACACAAGGATTCCTCTACTGATGAATGCGTTAGGTTCCAGAGGTCTGTTCGGAAGCCGATTTGTTCGTAAGTCCAACTTTACTCCTGTTGATTCCAAACACGTTTTACTGCGTGTACACTAAATACGAGGAATGGCTTCAAAAGTTGTAAAATCTCCTGTAGATGAAGATGCCACTGGTTCTTTATGTTGGGCAGACGTAGATGCCACCATCTATTTCGCGGCGGTTGAACTTACGACTCTCGGTCCGAACAAGCAACTGGACATACAGACAGGTTTGTTCATATCTCTGAAAATTCGGAAGTCAAATGTCCCTGTATAAATTTGGGCTCAAGGGAAAAAACAGTTATTAATTTACGTCAAAATCTCAGGTGCTCGGTTAATCCGTAAATTGGATAAACCGCTCACGGATAATCGAGAGTCTACCGTATTCTTTGGGTCTTTCGGTAAAGTCACGTAGATGGTTCAAACAAAATTTTAAAAAACTACGACGGTTCTATCACAATACAAGCGATCATCATCAGGAGGAAAGAGGAGGAAAGCTGCTGAATGCAGACTGTTTAATAGGGTGTAGTCCTAGGGAAATAAATGAAGTGGGCAGGGCTAGTGATGTTAATGTGAGAGATTAGCGTGTTAATGTAAGATTGGAGAGCAGCGTCCGCAACGAGTGTGCGGGTGGCTATGTTAATGTGAGAGATTAGCATGTTAATGTAAGATCGCAGAGCCACCGTGACGTAAAGGTTGGCGTCCGTAGGTGGCCACGTTGGCGCGAGAAATTCAACCTGTAAATGTGAAATCGGAGAGCCGAAGCCACTGGGGAAAATAAATAAATAAAATTCACATCGGAAGGTGGCAGGAAGGGAACATCACAGCCAGTTATGACTTTGACTGGTTGATAACGTCCTTCCAATGATTGCTAAGTTTGTACCTATCTTCTTGGTTGAAATTGTGTCTGGGTCTGTATATATCAGGGGTCGGGAACCTTTTTGACTAAGAGAGCCATGAAAGCAAAAAAATTGGAAATGTATTTCAGTGAGAGCCATATAATATATTTTAAAAGTGAATTCAACTAAATGTCAGTATAATAAGCCTCTGAATTTATTCTTTTAAATAATGTTGTTATAACACTCACCATTAATGCGACTTCTGGTGCTGCATGGATTTGCTGATGTCTTTGTAGTCGGGTTGGTACTTGGTGAGGTTAAGCTTCATGCAAGCGTTGAGGCTTTCATCCGTTAAACGTGATCGTAGGTTGGACTTGATGTTTTTAAGATGTGAGAATGACTGCTCACATGCATACGTAGATCCAAACATGGTCAATACAGCAATACTCACACGCTGCAGTGTGTGGTATGTGACAGGAAGCGCGTTCCAAGTTTTGAGAATCAGCTGGTCTTCGGGTTGGAGTTTTTTTCATTTCTGTCCACATGTGCTTGCTCGCCAACTCCGCTTTCTGTCGTGTGATTCTTTCCAAATCTTCATTCAGTGACTTGAACTTATTCACCCACATGTCTGAGGCCTTCAGGTCAGCCACTTCTGCCTCAAAATCTCTGACGGAGACACCAGGGATGTAATTCAGGTCGGCTGTGTTCAGTGAACACTCGTTTGGATGGGTGATGAACTTAAAAAGACGAGTGTGCTCACGAAATTCTCCAAAGCGTGCTTTGAAGGACTGTAGCAGACTGGATGTGCAGCCAGCTAGCTGGTGGAGATCAAGGTTTTGAATGGGCTCACTTGCTGTGCATGCATCTTTAAATTGGCTCAGTTTTTCAAAATGTAGTAAACGACCTGTTTCAAAATCCGTGATGAAAAGCTCCAGCTTGTTTTCAAAAGCAAATACAGCTTGTTGAAGGGATAACACTGTATTTCCAATGCCTTGCATTTTCACGTTGAGCTGGTTCAGATGTTCAGTCAGATCTACGAGATAGTAAAACTTGAGGAGCCACTCGGTGTCGGCTAGCTCAGGATGCCCGACGCCTTTCATTTCAAGGAAAGTCCGGATTTCGTTCAGGCAAGCCGCAAAACGGCTGAGCACCTTCCCTCTTGACAACCAACGCACATTGCTGTGCAAAAGCAGACCAGGATAGTTATTTACAACTTCATCCAGCAGTGTTTTAAACTGGCGATCATTTAAGGCTCGGGCAACAATAAAGTTGATCACACGAATGACCAGCGACATCACTTCGCCAAACTGCCTGTCACACATCTGAGCACAAAGTGCCTCCTGGTGTATAATGCAATGGAAACTTAGGATGGGTCTATTTTCATGTTCACGGAGAAGCGCCACAAATCCTTTGTTTTTCCCCACCATACACGGAGCACCATCAGTACACACTGAGAGAAGTTTA